GTTGCCTAATGGAATAATCAACAATATTGAACGAAATGGAGCAAGCTAGCTCAGGAAAAGAAAAAGAAGAAAACATGTTTACTTGGTTTTTAGGATAGCTGAGTGAATAAAAGTTAATTAGTCAATTACTTTCTCCAACGTTATACTTCACACTACTGATTAGTTTTTCAGCTATACATTTTTAGTGTTTGTTGAATTTCGTCTCAGATTTCTTCGGTATAATTAAAGCATGATTAACGCTGAATGGGTTTAAGGGTGATGATAAACAATTGGATACAGTGAAGATATGCCGATGAAGTCCTCTACACCACTCAGAATAATAACGAAATTAATAAAATCTAAAACTGAAGTTTTAGTAACATTTCAGGTAGTTGGGGTTCACGTATTCTGATTTGTCCACATACACAAATGGATGGACTGTAAGTTTTCATCTCAACTATTTATAAAGGGAACATTGAAATCATGTTTCAGAAGTTGAATAACTAGTAAATACGAATATGAGTTTTTACCTATAGTTCAAGGCTATTCATACATGCAAGGATGATGGCACATTAGATTAATTTGCACTTATGAGACATAAAAGTCATTAGTAGATTTTAATGTCACTCTGTGTATCATATGAAATAACTTATCAACCAGTCATACTCTACTTTAATTAAGAATCCAGGTTATGTTCCTTAGATTAGAATTTGGAAACGCTGTTGTCAGACATCAATATACCGTCAAACCTTCTGTATTATACATCGAAGCTGAAGGCTCAGAGTTCTATCACTGGTTACTTCATGAGTGAGGACGTCTGGAGAATCCAAAACTACGGTGGAACACCTGTCCATTTATCCATGGTGTTCAATGACTTCTAAGTGATGTTGGTCTACATTGAAATTAATCCAGATCCCTTCAGAAACTCATAGTCTAGAAATCTAAGCCTGTGAATATTTGAAATTCTACACTGTTTAAAAGCACGGATTTATTTATATGGATAGCACACATCTAAAACAAACAGAAAAGTCGAATATCGAAACATCAGTCTTACAAACATTCTTAGACACCTGAATAGACACCTGTGCGTGTTTATACTCAGTCTGATTCACGTGATAGTGTAATACTGAATCACACGAATGGAGGACTCATCCAGTTTAAGAAATGCATTAGTAAGTAACACCGAAATTCAAGTACGTTTATTTTCACCACACGTGATGAGTGAATAAAACAAATAATTGACAAACCAATATTGAAATACTTAGTTCACAGTGTGACTGATGAAATTGAAGCCCATACAATTCTCTCTCTCTCTTTGTTTTTATATATGTATGTACTACTATTTCCGGAAGGAGAAGATTTTGTAGAGTTAATTGCAAATAAAAAGTGTGTGTGTGTGTGATGAGTTGTCTTTTATTGAATTTCTGAGGCTGAATTCACAGTTCCTTTAAGATTTCTTAGAAGATGAAAGATACTGAAGATTACGTAAGGTACGTTCATCTCCTGAAGCAAGTGTATACCCTCCAACCACAAATGCACTTGTCTTGTATCATCAGAAAGAGGTTGAGAGGACAGAGAAACAGACAGTAGACTGATCATCTAAAATCCGGATCCGATTTTAGAACCAGAATTTCAGCGGCTTTCCTGTACATACCTTGAGTGCCTCTATGAACAACCAGCTGCACAATAAGAACATGCGAAATATCGTCGATGACTCTCTGCGTAGCTTCACCTAATCCAAAGACTAGTACGATGCGCATAGTCCCCTAATGTAAAATGATGAGGCTGTAGTAAGAATGTTTTAGTGGAGGTACATAGCAACATGTTGAATTCAGTCACATACTAGGTATCACACAGATTCTTCAGAGAAATAATTTCAGTAGCTAAATTCTTACCTAATCGAACCCATTTGCCTCTCAACATTACAAAACTCCAAACTGTATCAAAAGTCATCATGCTCATACAAATTCAACCTGTGTCCCATATCCAGAACAACTCACGATGTATCTCGCCATGAAACAAAACAATCACGATTAGCGTTATCATTATTCCCCCAGCTAATTTCAAATACCTATTCACCCAAAAACACACTAATCTCTTCCATGAATGAAATCAGGAAAATTCAAGGGAGATATATCAGTGTGCATTGGCTTCAAGCGACTGGGAGTAATACTTCAGTCTCTGAATGTTAGTGAACACCAGATACCCATCTTTCATATCATCATCACAATGTCCACTTTGTGTGAACAGTCTGCACAACGGAGAAGTAAATCATTCGGAATATCTTCACAGTCTGTCCACACATTAGAACGTTCTGAAGCAACACATGTTTCTTTCGCTTTCCGAAGGCTTGAGGTATCATTTTTTCTACTTGCATTCCGTATACGGAGGCGGGAGTCATCCAGTGTAAGGATAACTTTACAGATGAGTGACTGGTCACTCATTAGGTGATTGAGAACATTCATAAGAATCAGTGTGACATATTGTAAGAACAGAAGACAAGGGCCAGGCGACAGATTGTTTATTAACGAAATCAACACACATTTATAGCTTTTCATGTGCATTATTATAGATTATGGTTAGTAGAAAAACACATTCTCTGCCTGGTTCTTTCTCACAGAAAGTTAAGCTTGCATCTCTTTGTGGCTGTTTCCTGAATTTTAGATCGTCTGCGTGTTAGCTGCATCCGCCTACACAAAATCTACTGTGGTTGCTTGTTGAATCAGTCCTTGTTCTTATTTTTCTCACGGCCAATATTGGGGACGTAAACATTCACGTAAATTACTGTCTACCAATTTGGCTAGCAGCCAGCTGTCACCACAATATTACTCCCATTTACTCAAAAGAGCTTATGTTTGTGGCTTATTGAATTAGAGTTGACAGTTGTTTTGCAAATTTAACATGGTGGTGTGACAAGCCTACTCTTCCACCATACAATTTCATGTTGTGTAATAGTTAATAATATGGTGAGTAATACTGAGAATGATTGTAGTGTTAGGTGAAGAGGGGCAAAACAACTGACGAAGTTGTAAGCTTTTATTGATTGACATTGTAAGAGCATGTGTTATAGATCTCAATCTATTAACTTCCTTGTCAACCAATGTTAGCGCATGTTGGATCAAAATGGAATATGGCGTTAATCCATACAGTATTTGACTTTTGGACTTGATGGATTTCGCGAGACATCACTAGCCTATGATCAGAGACTTTCAGTAACACAGCTCTAGATCACTCCCAATAGTGTAAACTCATTCACTCCTGATGAATTCCGAGATTCATTAAATTCTCATTGATACTATTATCTTTTGCACTCCACGTTTCCACCCACGATAATTACTCTGAATTTCTTTCATTTATCTCTCCCTCTCTCTCTCTCTCTATGTGTGCGAATATTTTTGTGAGCTATATGAAGTTTGACAACTTGGAGAGCTGTAATTCTGTGCAAAGTTCCACTTCCAAAAGTCATTTAGTCAGTCAATCAGCTAGTCAAGCTGAAATAATTTCAAAGTGTTTCATCAAAAAATATACCAAGAAACACCTTTTTAAGACGAATAACTTGACCAGGATTGAAGAAGATTATGGAGTTGAACTGGGAAAATGCTTAACTTCATTTTCTGAAGATGGCATGAAAAAAGGGGTTAGTTTTCAGTCTTAGCTGATATTAAGTAGCATCAAAACGGGTTATGAATGAGGTGATCATTATTATGCTGTTCACTGATGCAGGTTGATTTATTGAAGCATGGTATAATTTTATCAACACTATTTACACAAAATGTAGGTCAGGTGAAGTAGTTTCTTAAGATGCAAAAGGCTGGAAAACCAGCAGAACCAGATGGAATCCTCGCAGAAGCGTTAAAAATCGACCTCGATACATCAGTGAACTTGATGACACTATTACTGAAGAAAGTGTGGAAAGAGGGGAAAGTACCTGAGGATTGGAGGGAAGACTACCGCTTGAAACTGCTAAATAAATGAGACTTAAGTCAGTGCAAGAATTAGCGCGGCATTATCTTCCTGTCTATCTCAAGCAAAATACTAAACCTCATCATCCTGGAGATAATCAAACACGCTCTGGTTTAAAAGCTTCTACGTGAACAGGCTGGATTCAGGAAAGCAAATCATGCATTGATCAAATCAGCAACAGGGTTCTCTGGGAACGAACCAACCCAGCAGGAACCAATTGTACAACAAATATGCAGGAAGAAATGGAGGTGGATAGGCCATACTCTTAGAAAATCATCAAGTGACATCACACGCCAGGCTATTGCTCGAGTGGAACCCGAGTGGGAAGCGGTGAGATGGTCGTCAGTGAGAGAGTGACGTCGAGGAGGTCATGTGAAGAAGAGATGAAAGCATATGAGCAGACGTGGAGCCAGGTGAACACATTGGCAATGGAGACGCACGGCTGAACCCGTATGTTCCTCTAGGAACTAAAGGAGATAATAATAATAGTTTCTTTTAGGCATATTCCTTTATAAAACACCTGTGGTCAAATTTACTTTCGTAGGATGTGTTTAATCCATATCCGTACGATTTAATAAAACAAAATTTAAACTTGTAGACAAAATGTTTCCAGCTTATCTAAATAAATATTTTATGGTATGTCCACATTTTAGTTGATACTTACATTCGACCTCAAAATGGTTAATGTTTAATGAAACAGACGAATTGTTTATCCACACACACACACACACACACGCATACACACGGTCTTCTATTATTTATTTCAATGAATCAACAAACTTGATAATTATCTCATCGGATGTTTACAATTAGTCACCGTTCTCTCTCTCTCTCTCCTTCTCTTTTCAGCCACCCACGCAACAAATAAATTGTTACATAATTGGAAGAACATAAATTACCTGCTGATTGGATTTATGCCACGCTTTTATTTAATTGAAATGATGACTTTAGACGTTATCATGATTTCTCTTAGTTCGGCATTTCTTCCTTATTCATTGAAAATTGTACAGCTTAACTGTGATTGGTCAATTAGTGTAAAGTAAACAAGTGGGCGTTAGAATCTTTGCACAATACACACTTCAATGTATATAAAAATGAGAAAAATTAAGCAAAACAAAACGCTGCATGAACTGCGAACTGTTCATCACAAAACATAAAAATAATAATAATAACAATAATCATATAGATATTTAAATAAACACAATCACACATTATCTTTTTGTGGTGTTCACAAGTCCTTAAAATGGAGTGCAAATTTTTACTGCTTTGTAAGTTTAAACAAGTGTATGAATAATATTTCTTCTCTGATTTTTCACAAATCTTTAGGACTTTTTGTTTATTTATTCTGAATTATCATTTTTGATTCTTATCATTAATTCAAAATAAGCGCTCAATGTTTGAATTGTTCAGTGGTCTTAATAAATAGGTGTCAGTTATACCATTAATCAATAGTTATACTTATTGTACACGATTTCCTACTCTATCATTTTTTTTAATCAAAAAATAAATGTCTCATCACTCGTAAAACTTGTTAATTAATGTAAGATGAGCAACTCCGGGTATTTTGAATAAACGGTGTTCCGGTTTTCCTCAGTGAATCAGGTTTTTGTTTAGAGATTTACGTACAATAAAAGTTATGATGTCATTGTGTTTCTGGTATCAACACTGTGGACATTTCATGGCATAAATTTGTTAGAGATATTCGTTATTTAAGATATTAGATGTGATTTCTGAACGATTGTATAAATTTAATCTCATGGAGTTACGAAGTCAAATGAAGTGAGCTACTTGAACACAGATTGATCAGTCTCTTAAGCATCTAGAAGAATAGTTACACACATATATGTTATTCCTTTATTAGCTGAGGACAACAAAACGCATAGTGAAGTTATCTTTTTCCCTAATAAATTCACCCTGTACACCTGTACAACTAACTGTAAAATAAAAATATCTTCATTCTAAAATAGAGACTGATTACAAAAACTAAAAACAATAAGACTGTTTGCAGTCAAATATGGTTTATTAAAGAAAAGAAATCATTCGCCTGTTGGAAACTGAGAAACACAAAATGAGTAGAAAAACGCCGAAATCACTTTTTGATTTTATTTTTTTGATTTTGATTTACAGCTTGATTCCACACTGTATTTTTGGTACAAGTATGGAATTTTCAGCATGTGATATCGGTAGCCCAAATTTTGCAGGCCAACCATAGATATCAGGTGTGCGCCGGCGTGGGCTCGAACCCCGGGCCATGTGCATGGTCGGCGGGAGTCCTAACCACTGTGCCACCGACGCACACTTGAGGTTTAGAAGTGGATTTTCGTAATCTGAAATGAAACATTGTATTTTCTGAAAAAGCAGTATGTCTTATTATTATTATTGTATCCTTTAGTTCCTAGAGGAACATAGGGCTTCAATTGCGCACCTCCATTGCCTTCGGTTTCCTGACAACTTTTTCACCCTGCTACAGGTCTGTCCACATGCTTTCATCTCCTCTCGCATGACCTCCTCCAAGTCACCCTTGGACGACCAACTCGCCGCCTCCCTTTCGGGTGATGTTGAGTCTTTGGTTTATCCATCTGCCTTATTCAACACCCCAGGGAACTGTTTCTAATAACGGTAGTATTCTAAGGAGGAATCGACTACGCCTAATTTTCATGTTAGTTGTCAGCGAATATTTCAAAAAAAAACTACTATCATTATTATTTTGAAATTTCTGTCTAAAATAAAATAAATAAATTAGTTAACCTAGTCGTAATTAGTATTATTATCATCATCATCAGCATCATCGGTTTGAAATATATATGGAATCACGCGAAACTACTATTCATAGAAACTTGATGCATATTTTCTAAAGTGCAAATATGTCTACATACTTAATGAATAGACTGTGTATTGGATGAATAAAAGCCGACGTTGAATTTCTTACGCTGAAATTAATCGGTCGGTATACACGCAGTTTTGTATAGTTTTATTCATTTTAAACCAAATTTCCAACTCAAGTGAAGATAATCACGTGTTCGGTTTAGTCAATAATAATATAAGGAAAGCCAAGCATTTTATTAGACTTTATCAGTCTGAATAAAATACGTATCTGGTAATTTCAACTCAGTACATACTAATAGGCAGAAAGCAGTCAGTGGAACACATTGGAGGGAATGACTGGCTATTATTGCATACAACTTTCGATAGTTGTCGATCAAATGACTCCACTTAGTGACATGAAGAGCTTATTGCCTTATATAATAAAATGTGAATCATTCAAAAATGACCAAAATGAATCTGTTTTGCTCACAGGTGACAGAAATACAAGTCTGCATGAAGGGTGGTTATCAACCATCTGTTTCCCAGCATTGTTCAAATGCATAATCTTGTACAACATTACAAGAGATTAGCAACAATAAAACTAATAAAATGGTTTATAATAGCATTGTAATTATTTGATAATCTTCTAAGTTTCTCATGAAACTCAAGTTTCACTTCCCTCCAAGTCAGCAAACAGTCATAAACACATCATGAATTGACATCATGTTTTACTTTGATCACTCACAGAAGCCTTTGAGCAGACTCCCCTGTCAGTTAACATTACTCAAGAAGGAAGTTAATAGATTGATGTCCGAAACACATACTCTTACAATCTCAGTTGATTTACTTCTCCGTTGTGCAGACCGTTCACACAAAGTGGACATTGTGATGATGATATGGAAGATGCGTATCTGGTGTTCACTAACATTCAGAGACTGAAGTATTACTCCCAGTCGCTTGAAGCCAATGCACACTGATATATCTCCCTTGAATTTTCCTGATTTCATTCATGGAAGAGATTAGTGTGTTTTTGGGTGAATAGGTATTTGAAATAAGCTGGGCGGGGGGGAATAATAATGATAACGCTAATCGTGATTGTTTTGTTTCATGGCGAGATACATCGTGAGTTGTTCTGGATATGGGACAGAGGTTGAATTTGTATGAGCATGATAACTTTTGATACAGTTTGGAATTTTATAATGTTGGGAATGGAATGAGTTTCTTATTGATATAAATAATATTAATAAAACTACTTTCGAACGCTTTATGTACTCATGTTTCAAAATTTTTCAGCCATTTCAATTTCAATATATTACCTCTTCATACAGACTTCACATGTTAAGTAGGAATATGGGGTACAACGTGTTACTCACTCATGTCGCATATGAAGAGCGAACCAATTCTATGGGTTTTTGCTTAACGCATCTGGAAAACTGCTCAGTATTGATATTTGGAAGCTAATTAACATTTGCTAGGAGTCTATGTTGTGGTTATTTTATATAACTGCGTGAATAAAACAACACGAAATGCAGAAGAGTTTAGGCATTTTGATGAATGGAAATTCTGGTATCTCAATGATTTAAATAGGCCACCGTGTCGATATATATCAATAATGTTATAGAGACTGATACTGAATGTATTTGCCTGTAGAATCTGTCTGATACCTAGTAGGTGTAGCAACAGTTTCGTGAATAACAAGTGTATATCTGAGACATTGTGAGTTTCTGCTTTGTTTAGGCACCTTAAATTGACGCAGTATACACAGTACTTTGCGAAACGTTCTGTTGATATTATACAGGATGTATGCAAGAGTAATATACAAGTTGAAGAAACCACAGGTCACAAATTTCTTTAAGATTATGCATATAGTCTCTGACAAAAATAAAATATTCTGTCAATGTCTGTGAAGTGCTTCCTAAATCTCATGTAAAGTCATGTTGATACTGGATAACATGCTTCATACATATTGTCAATAATTTGCTCTTCTACACTTTGTTAATGCCGAGCTATCACATCTGTAATTTACTTCTCATTTCAATTCTCTTTATCTAATAATGCCTATTTTAAAGTCAGATAGATGAATCAAACAATCAACAACTGTGAACCGGCATAACCCTAATCTGTTTTTATTTTAATATTTGTGCATAAATTATGACTCATTAACCACAATTACTACGTCCTCACATACTGAGTTCATAAGGCAAAGGCTACATTTCACATTTCATCTAACAATTTTGAAACTTCTTGCATAATGTTAGATATATTAATGTATGTCTATCTATAGGTGTGCATTGATGTGATAGCTGTGATAAAACCTTCAGCAAATAGACGAAATTTGCAGACGGGAATACACGCATGTACACACAAAGACAATCAGGCATTTGACATGTCTTCTCTCAATCATCATAAGGAAAATTCATTTTAACTTCAACGAATTAGGTCACTGATGATGATCTAAAGGAAAAATCAAAACATCAGATCAGATTTATAATTCCTTTTATTATTTCATCTTCCAGAAATTTCAGTCTGTATGTGATCTGATTAAAAGTGATTAGAGATTTTATTATTATTCTTAATAACAGTAGTATAACCTGATAGTAGACTTACAATTTAGGAAAAGCAATAAGTGAGCTGTCAAATTAAGAGAATAGTAACAGTGTTTGTCTACTGAAGGCGCTAGTACACCACCTTTAGACAAAAGGTATAAAATGAAAGACACCACATTCTTATTGAACAGAATTGATGACGCCTTCAGTGTGTGACTTCATTGTCTTGGAGATAAACACTTTGTCAGAGGGGAAAATCAAATACACCAACTCTGAAGTGGGAGTAGCTTTTAAATTGTAGTCCTGATTAATGTAGTTTCGTTTATTGTTTTGAAGATGAAAGCCGAGGCTGGGTGGAAATCAGGTGAGATGAAATTACTCTTCCAACATTGTAACATGTGAGCTACCTAAGTGGACTGCCAACTTAAACTTTTTCTGCGTAATACAATTTTTGAGCTGATTCATTTATAGCATGGATTAGGGTTCAGTTACTTATTCAGAGAGGCATACAATAATTTGTTATTCTGAGTGACTCATTGTTAAATACCGTTGACAGATTACATGTTACCTGTTTTTTTTCTGCATGTGTAATTAGCCAACCTGGCATTGAGAAGATTTTCCTAATAAAAGCAAAACCATTAGCCATTGACTAAAAATAAAGTCCATCAAGTGACTGTCATGTCCCCGTTTTTGGATCTCAAGAAATATTCTTTTAAAATAAAATTTATGGATTTATTTCCAAATGTTAGTCTGCAGATTAGATCACAAACTAGCATCATTTAAAGCTATACTGGACAGCTGTTTCATCCTAGTGTAGGACTTGTTCATCAGTATGCACTCATTACCTCACTGCTAGCTATTGCTCTTTTTGGGGTTCATTATTGGCTAGGCAATGATTTTAACATCATCTTAATGAAAACTCTTATTGATGGTTAACTGTTATTCTATGTATGTGATAGGTTTAAGTTATTTGTTTGATGAACTGATCACATAGGCAACACTGATCTCCGGTAATAATTTCTAAATTTATTTCATATCAACCTATCAGAAGACTTTGACTAAGGATCATTCTCATGTCTGAAAGATGAGACACAATAGTTAAGTCGTATAAATACTGACATACTAACACCTCCACATTAATGAGCATTGAAATTATATAAATAGATTGTTATCTCTCTGGTTTCATTATACACACACATATTCATTCATATCTGTGTCTGAATCACTAACAGACTGTCTTCATCATCCAGTCTAAAGATTCACTGAGATAATGACACTGATATTTTTTTGTTGTTGACTCATATTAACTAAACATCACTTAGTGAATAAAAGATTGAAGTTGAATTCAGTGAAACAGGTTTTCTGTTCACTACATACTGATATCATCATATTGACTTGCTGGCAGAAACTGCCGACCAGCAGTGTAGGTGGTACATATACACACACACATATATATATATATATGCATACATGTATATATATATAATCTGTTTTCTAGTAAAGTGAACTGTTTGATTTCTGTCTGCTTTTGTGTTTTCATCTTGCCCTGAATAAACTACTGTCATGTATACACAGATTGTTGTATTTTATCAGTATTGCGAATTAAGAAAAAAAAAATCATTTACCACTCTTGTACAATAATTACTTAGTATTCAGTTAATTTTTCTTTGTTGTTTTTTTGTTTTAATATTTTCGCGTAAACATGTGTAGGCGTGGTAACCGGCTTTAAGGAATACAGGTGTATGTATGTGTGTGTGTGTGTGTGCATGAATACACTTAGTAGACGATAGAGACGAGTATGAGTCAAATTATTGATGCCAATTTTTGTCAAATGCTAACCACTGGTATAATGATGACATTAACCAGAAGGTTTTCTTGTCTAAGGCAGAAGAGATGCTTCGTTCCATAATAGCATAAGCGTATAATATTACGCTTATATATATATATATATCCTTTAAACGATATCTGAATTTCAATAAAATTGTATTCAATGTGATATTCAGTCATAATGATACTAAAAATAGACAGTTAAACGAATATTATGCATTACACCTCTATAGATTGAGATGGCTGTGACATGTCTTAGGCGTGCTCAATGTTGTTATCTATTGAACAGAAGTCATATGCTGTTTTAGCCTGCACATCATCAAGTGTGATTTAATTCAATGAGACGAGCTAGAAGGAAAGTATTTTGTAAATTACCTTTCTCATTAATGCTGTTTATACTTGACATCCGCCTACCTACCTATGGATGATCACTAGACTAGTCGGTGACAACTTTCCGTTTTTACAAAACTGTTGTATCAGACATTGTGTACTTCGTTAATACACGTATATTATGCATTTCCTTTATTTGTTGTGCAGTATGCATTAAATGTTGATTTCAATGTTGATTTATTCACCATAAAAGTTATTCATATTTCTCGTTTCAAGAATTCATATACACCAACATGTATACCATCAACTTCATTTGCTTCAGGATCTCAGCATGAGCTGACACCAGTTAGAAAACCATCTGAAAGCCTCGGAGTACTCGATTATTGATGCTCACTAGCGACTGACTCTGTTTTGAGGCAAGCATTTACCTGGGTTCTAGTGGGAATTTGTGACCAGTGGAGTATAGCAGGTTGCGCGTAAGCACAGATACTCATCAAAGATATTGGCTAGTGGTCACGTTATTTCATCAATTAACAGAAGTTGGATGTGATGAACCATCAGGTCGCTTCATGTGGTTGAATGGTCAGCGAGCTGGTCTTGTAACTAGAAGGTCCTGGGTTCTAGCCCTTATGGGGTCTGTGTAGGGATGAAGAGTCACAAACTAGGAGTTAACAGCTGTCCAGTACTCCTCGATGGTTTTACAATGTTTCTCTAACCGATGTCAGCTCATGGTGAAATCCTGTAACCAATTAATTGAATCCCTTCAAACTAGAACCAGAACTTCGTTTGTTCTTCTAAAAGTAGTTAGCAAAGGAAATAACTGAGGGAGAAATACTTCTCAATCAGTTAAGTAAACTATTAACTATATTTACTACATAAAGTAGTTAATTTATGACATTATTATTAACAAATTATGAACATGTGCACACTGATAAATCTTTCATTTATTCGTTGGTACCCTGGAAATGAAAATAAATCAGAGAAAGTGAAAGGGAGTTAAAGCTTAGGGAAAAAGAAGCAATCAAAATTGGCTGTATTATGTATACATGTGCACATATACCACGTGTACAGGTGTGAATTATGAATCGTACTGAGAAAAAAAATCTAAATTAATGAAACGAAGGTTTAAAGGAGAATGTATTGTGCGGTAAGTAGTGCTTTTTAACTCTGAATGAATGACACATGTCGAGTAGTAAAATAAAATACAAGCAACAACAACAACAACAAAAAGAAAACGACCATTAAAATTCATCACATTTTGTTGCGTTGAGTTTTTCTGTCTTCAGTTTTGTTTCATTTCCTCTATTACTACTTTCAAGGGAGAATAATTAAGGCTTTATTTTCCTGTCTTAGATAAGACAATCCCAAGTGAGGAAAAGAGGCATTAATTTCAAATTAAAATACAATTTTACATGGATTATTTCTTTTTTCTCTGTCTGTCTTTTATTATTCCACTTAGGTATTATTCTGTCAATCAACCATGAGTTGTACCTTGTAAATTTACATCCAACCACTAGTATAGATGGTGGTATTATTCGTCATCGAACTAAACGATGGGCGCATTATGAAGTACATAAATGTGGTCGAATAAAAGGCTACAGTTGTCTAGAACATCGTCATTGTTATGAACGTTATCTACGTCATGATATGGTTTGCTTTGAAGTTTATCCGTGCTTGAGTTCATGTATATTCACTGCTCAGGTAAGGATAAATAAATATGTTTATTTATTAATTTTCGTCGTTTCGCGGTTTCTTCTGTTAATGCCTAACTTTACTTTATTAATGTTTAGGATTTTATTCAGAACTTAGGCAAATAATTATTGTCGGTATAGAGATATCACTTGATATGATATGCTTAGCTTAAGTACTTCCATCACGTGAAACTGTATCGAACGAATTAGTTTTATTCAAATATTGGTTTGCAGAGATTTGATTGATTGGTCACAGGATTTCATCATGAGCTGACATCGATTAGAGAAGCATTGTAAAACCATCGAGGAGTACTGGACAGCTGTTTCTTCTTAGTTCGGGACTCTTCATTGGTATACAGACACCATAGGGATTAAAACTCAGGACGTTCTGGTTACAAGACCAGCTCACTGACCATTCAACCATTGTGACTCGACCTGATAGCCCATGAATTCCGACTTTTGTCAGTCCACGACATAACATGACCACCAGCCAGTGTCTTCGGTGAGTATCTGTCCTCACACCAGACCTGATGTAACCTACTGGTCACGACCTTATGACGTTATGACTAATATCGATCTCAACCATTGTGTTGAAATATCATCCCGTAAACTAAATCTTGTCTTTACCGCAGTATTCTATTGAGTATTCTATTTTGCTATAATCGATGATGTTATGTTGATAAGGGTAGAAAATTGGGCATTGTGGTAGAATTTAACTCCATTATGGATAATATTTTACTTTGATAAATCACACAGTGTTGTACAGTAATATGAACTGGCAGTAGTGCTTTTTTACGCGGTGAAATTGTTTGCCTGAGCAAACCCCCTTTCTTCTTACTGGTCTAGTTACTAGCTACTGCCGGATTTACGAGTACTTTCGTCGAGAAACGAACTCCACACCATATGAGTGTTTACTTTGACTGGACACTAATTACCAGCTACAGGAGGTCGATCGAGAGGGCGAATAGCTCAGATGTGATGTTTCTGATTGCAGCACTGTGTGATGCGAGTTTGAATCTCAGAAGCGATGTGAGTTCCTTCAAGTGCCAAATAGCTCGAAATGTAGGTCCAAGGCTTCCTGCCAATTTCCTCCAACTGTCTAGTATCCACATGAATGGTTGGCCAGCATTCTATCACCGAGTCACCAACTCACAAAAAAGTTTGCTTTCATGTGTTTACTTTATAGACGACGTTGCACTCCTCAATGTCAACAAATTAACTCTATTTTCTTTTATCATTCTTTACCTTTCTGCATTGACTAGCTTCAAGACCCTGAAAAACTGAATGAACAAATCAGAAAACTATTACTAGACGGTGTCTCAGTCAATGATCGTAATGACTCAATAAATTATGTACGTGAACAAACAAAAAAACTGGCAAAAGAATTAAATTTAACCTTACCAATGTAAAAAAAAATTCAGTTAATTCAAGTTTATCTATTCAACCAAAGAGTCCTTCTGTATCATAAACCATAGAGAAAATGAAATACCCAAAGGCAACAGCAACATGACTTGTTTATACTTTATTTTCTATTGTACATTTAGCTCTATTCATTTTTTTAAATGTGTGCATTTTTGTGATACTACCACTACTACTAACACTAATGTTACTCGAACTTATTCTACTATTACTACTACTACTACTACTACTACTACTACTCCAACTTCTATTGCTCACACTTCTGCTAACAATACTACTCACACTACTACAATGAAGACCTTCCGTTGTGGTAGTAAGTTGTACAAATTACAATTCCAAATACTGTTCATACTTGTACATCTTTACTCTAAAAAAGGGTTGGCCAGGAAGTCATTTAACTGTACAGTGTTGATAAGAAAAAGCTGACAGAGAAGACAAAGAAGATGAAGAAGACGACGTAGACGAAGAACAGGAAGAACGACAGCGATGAGATGAAAATAAAGATATCTGTGATATTATGTATATTTTCCTTCTAGATACAATGACCTATGATTATGTATGCATATTTTTGTATTACTGAATGTATATTTTCCTGTAAATTATGATATATATATATATGTGAATACTACTAATAAATTAATTTCGTATGAATTCGTTGTTATGAGTATGATCATCGTGTGTTCTACATTCGGTAGATTGGGATATCGTCATTCGTGTGACTGAATTTATAAGGTGAAGAGATTTAAGTGGAAATTGCTGTTTGGAATACTGCAGACGGTCATTTGATCATAGCTGGCATCTCACCCTCAATAATAACACTAGTGGCTGAATGGTATACGAGCCCAGCTTGCCTTGTAACCGGAAGGTCCTGGGTTCGAAACCCAATGGGTGCGTACTGCCGATAATTAACAAACTAACATGATATCAATCCCTGGTGTCAAACTCGTATAAACAAATCTAATTCTTACAAACTAAACACCAGGAAACTAAGAATAATAATAATAATAAGTCAGATCACAAAATAGGCACATGAAGTGTAAACGTATTTCATTCAATGAAATGTTGTTATAAGTAGTTGGTTGAAGGTTGGGATAAAATTCAGTTAAGATGAAGGGATTATCCCGAATTTCTAAATTACAACAGATAATAAGTTTTACGGTTCACAGTATACACTATTATTAGTAGTCCCCACGCTAAAACAATACATGCTTTTGATGACTGGTCAATTATATGCATGCAGGTGAGTGGAGGAAATAGCAAGCTTATGGACAAAGGAGGGTTAACGCGTGAACTGAATTCTGTTCAGAGCAGTAGAGAAAATAAAAATGACATAAACTTCAAAATGTTGTGAACAGCTTTCTTGTTGACTAGTATACAAATAAAACAAAACTTGTTTTGAACATGCATGTCACAATACCACATGAAATAGTAATAATACTGCTAATAAAGACATTTAGATAAACTTGGTCATTTGCATTGTGTAAAGAAGGATGGAGATGTCATCATCCAACTGAGGAAATAATATATATATATATATGATTGCATGAATCCAACATGGTCCGGGTGAACGTTTCCATCCAGACCATCTGTCACTATTTGTAGGATGACAGAGAGGAGCGTGATTCAGCACTAGTTCTGGTATAGTCTTAATTCGTGTTTCTTTCACATTTTGAGAAAGTACCTTTTCTCTTAATCATTGGGCACCTTTCGTTCATTCTGAAGCTTTTGTAGTAGTGAAATGGGCATTTCCAATGAGATTTCTGTGTTCGAAGAGAGAAAGAACGAACATGTCTGTAGGATAATACGAGCTCGTCTCATTTCGTGGATACTCATCAACTACATACATCCTTAACCAAATCAAATTATAAGTTTCAAAAAAATGTTCTGGAACATACTTTTTCATAATTACTTGGAGTTATAGATAGAAGGTATAAGGAACATAATTCCACAATTAGATGTAGGTAGACAGATTATTCAGTGTCAGAAAACAACTAACTATATATAGTGGGATTAGATAAGAGGGGTTAGAGTTCAGATTTCTATTGGAAAACACAAACTGGTTAGAGGCATAATACATGGTCAGGGTCAGAAACCAGTTTTCATCTGCCTACCGTAAAAAGAGAAGGACGTATGCACAAGAGCACAAAAAAGAATCACACGTGCATTAAGAAGAACTTCTCCAGCCGCCAGACTGATCCTATTTCACAACACTGTGTGCTCGTTAACCCAGTCAAAAGTAGATGAGTACCCTGCCCACGTCAACTCCAACTGCATTTACCAATTCACGTGCACTTGCGGATACAAGCACATAGGAAGAACTGAGAGGAGAGGATCTACTAGATTTTCTGAGCACATTCCTAAGAGTCTCCGTACAAAAGGAAGAAAAGTATTATCGAGTGCAATCGCCAGATATTTAATTGACACAGGACACAAAGTAAAAATTAGCCAGGCCTTCAAAATAATCAATGCGCAAAGAAACCCATGGCTATTTCGCTTCGCAGAAGCCATTGCTATCAAGAGACTTCGACCAGACCTCTGTGTACAGAAAGATAGTGTGACTAATCTTTCACTACCCTGGTAACCCTTATTCTATTTTATTTTTGTTTCACTACCCTGGTTACCCTAATTCTATTTTATTTTTGTTTCGCTTTTTTTGTCCGTATGCCCGTATGTTTGTCCCGTTACGAAACATTCTATTCAACTTTGACTTTCGCTTGCTAAGTGAACTAACTATCAAGTTTCTAAATCTACTTAATTGCCTGTTTAAATTTAAAAAAATGTTACATTACTATTCAATCCCACTGTCTTAAACTCTCCACCACAAGATGTATAAATTCACTCTATTCTCTGACCCTGACCATGTATTATGCCTCTAACCAATTTGTGTTTTCCAATAGAAATCTGAACTCTAACCCCTCTTATCTAATCCCACTATATATAGTTAGTTGTTTTCTGACACTGAATAATCTGTCTACCTACATCTAATTGTGGAATTATGTTCCTTATACCTTCTATCTATAACTCCAAGTAATTATGAAAAAGTATGTTCCAGAACTTTTTTTGAAACTTATAATTTGATTTGGTTAAGGATGTATGTAGTTGATGAGTATCCACGAAATGAAACGAGCTCGTATTATCCTACAGACATGTTCGTTCTTTCTCTCTTCAAACTAATAAAGGGAACCGGTTGTATGAAATCTCTGTGCTTGTTTTCATTAATTAACTTTTTTGTGAGTTCTCTCAATTTCTGCTGCTTTCCCGGCCTGCTTATAGAAACATTATAACGTCGCCTACATTACTAGCTTGATAGTTTTCTAGCCGGTCCCAAGCCCGTATAAAGAGGGAGGGTTGGGGCGTGGTGCTAGCAACTCCACTCGCAAAACTTAACCAAATCGCTACAGAAACTTCAACGAACAAATATATTAAAAATTCTAAAAACATAAGCAATAGCCTTACTTTTCGCTGGAATCGGGGAAGTGAAATGACGCAGGCTGGTGAAAGCCTTCGGGAAGCCAGTCAGCCGATGTGCCTTCTTTCGATGAAAGCAAAAGTAAGGATGGGTACCTGGAATGTTCGTACAATGTACGAAACTGGAAAGGCTGCCCAGATAGCCGCTGAAATGAGAAGGTACAGAATAGAAGTGTTGGGAATCTGCGAAAGCAGATGGAACGGAACTGGAAGGTGCCAACTACCTACTGGAGAGACAGTAATCTATTCCGGCCACCCAGAGGACAACCACGAGCACACCGAGGGAGTGGCCATCATGATGTCACCAACAGCAACCAAAGCTCTCATGCAGTGGGAACCAATCTCCTCCAGGATAATGACAGCCAGGTTCAACTCAAAAGGAAGGAAAGTTACAGTCATTCAATGCTATGCGCCTACAAACGTCTCAGAACAAGAGAAGAAGGAGGCGTTCTACAGACAACTACAAGCAATAATGGACAACGTCCCAAATGGCGATATCAAAATCCTGATGGGCGACATGAATGCGAAGCTGGGAGGAGACAACACAGGAAGAGAACTCACCATGGGTCGTGAGGCCCTCGGTGAAATGAACGACAATGGTGAACTCTTCTCAGACTTCTGCGCCTTCAATGATTTGGTGATTGGTGGTAGTGTGTTCAAACACAAGGATATACACAAGACGACATGGATTTCACCAGATGGAAACACCAAGAACCAAATAGACTTCATCTCAATTTCAAGAAAGTGGAGACGGAGCCTACTGGACACAAGGTCAAGGAGAGGAGCAGATGTGGGTTCAGACCACTATCTAGTAGAAGGGACTTTCAAGGTGAAACTAAAAGCCTCGAGGATAGCTGGGGATAGGCCACAATGCAAGTTCAACACTCAATTACTGAAGGACACAACCACAAAAGACACTTTCACTGCAACTGTCAGAGCAAAGCAGGAAACACTACGCGACATCACTGAAGAATCATGCGTGGAAGAACATTGGAAGTCTCTGAAGGCGATTCTCAACGAAACGTGTTCAACGGTTCTAGGAAGAAAGAAGAGACAAGACAAGGAATGGCTCTCAACGGACACTTGGAAATTAATAGAAGAGAGGAGAATGGTGAAAGAGAAAATGATTCAATGCAAGGACGGACAGGAGAAGGAGACGTTGAGCTCAACTTACACAGCACTGGACAAAGAAGTGAAGAAGAGTGCTAGGAAGGACAAAAGACGATTCTACGACAACCTGGCCACTGAAGCTGAGAAGGCAGCAGGCAAAAGGGACCTGAGGACACTATATCAGATAACCAAATCTCTATCCGGGAAGAGATCAACACAAGCGAAACCTATAAAAGACAGCCAAGGGAACCCAATTACCAAGGAAGAAAAACAGATTAAACAATGGGCGGATCACTTCAAAGGACTCTTGAACCGACCATCACCTGCAACCCGTCCAGAAATACCAACAACAGCGCGCACACAACTGCAAGTTGACACCAATCCTCCAACGAGAGCTGAAGTCTTGAACGCAATCAAACTTCTGAAAGCTGGAAAAACAGCCGGACCAGATGGAATACCCCCTGAAGCACTGAAAGCGGACCCAGAGACTACAGCAGACATGCTGACTCCATTATTGCAAAAGGTCTGGAAGGAGGGAAAGGTGCCTACTGACTGGAGGAAAGGTTACCTCGTGAAACTACCAAAGAAGGGCGACTTAGGCCTCACTCTGCAAGAACTGGCGAGGAATCATGCTCCTATCGACGCCAAGTAAAATCCTGAGTCGCATCATCCTGGAGAGATTAAAGGACGCACTGGAGACAGAACTCCGACCAGAACAAGCTGGATTCAGGAAAGGCAAATCATGTACTGACCAAATTGCAACTCTACGCATCATCATCGAACAAAGCATGGAATGGCAATCAAACCTCTACCTCAACTTTATAGACTTTGAGAAGGCCTTCGACAGCGTTGACCGTGAAGTAATTTGGAAATTACTCGAGTACTATGGCGTACCCCAAATATTCATCAACCTTATTCAACAGCTGTACGACAACGGCACCTGCCAAGTGATCCACAACGGAAAACTCAGCGAGGCGTTTGGAGTAAACACAGGAGTCAGACAAGGGTGCTTACTATCACCAATGATATTCCTAATTGTGGTGGA